ATGCTGTGAATGACACTTCAGACTGGTTAGTTCATCAAGTAAACCTGCAATGTAAATCATATGTTGTACAGTAACATTATTTTTATTGAATTCATTTTTTATGGACCAGGTCTCAGGGATTCAGTTCAACCTTGCAATGGGGGTTGAATTCTTCCTTTGTGACTAAAAAAACATCAACCTGACAGTAATAATAGTTGTTACGTTTTAATCAAGAATTTAAATTTACCTTTCTGGAAATGGACTACACTTGTTTATGTAGTTAATTTATATAACTATACTTATACAAAAGATAACGTTTATTTTTTATTCAAGTAAACTTAACTACCATTATATCCATGTTATGTTTTTATCTGTGGCTCAAGTTAATTCTGATATACTTTATAACCAGGTTAATCTATATCTGTGGCTCAAGTTAAATCTGATAGACTTTATTACCAGGTTAATTTTCATCTGTGGCTCAAGTTAATTCTGATATACTTTATAACCAGGTTAATCATTATCTGTGACTCAAGTTAAATCTGATATACTTTATAACCAGGTTAATCATTATCTGTGGCTCAAGTTAATTCTGATATACTTTACAAACAGGTTAATCATTATCTGTGGCTCAAGTTAAACCTGATATACTTTATAACCAGGTTAATCATTATCTGTGACTCAAGTTAAATCTGATATACTTTATAACCAGGTTAATCATTATCTGTGACTCAAGTTAACTCTGATATACTTTATAACCAGGTTAATCATTACCTGTGACTCAAGTTAACTCTGATATACTTTAAAACCAGGTGAATCTTTATCTATGACTCAAGTGAAATTAACTTCAAATAATATTAACCCAAAAGATTGATCTTTTTCTCTGATTTGAAGTAAGAAATCTTTTTTTATGACTCAAGTTAACTACAATCATACATAGGGAAGTATTTTTGTATGTAATTTGAACACAAGATGTATATACAGGAGTATAGGTTACTTACAATAAAAATATAGATACTGCATTTATGCAAGACTTGAAGTGTAATTATGACATATTTGAAGTTTAAATTATGAAATCAATTTGCAGTGTACAAAAATCCTAAAATGTATTGGTTGAATGGACCATAGCCAGACAATTATATATTGTATTCAATTAATTTTTCATACTTTTGCCCTCAATGTTACATCCTATCCCAAGCTAAGCATGTGTAATGTATATCCATCAATTAAAGCCACACATCAAAACACTGTCACATGACTTGAAATCACTAAGGCTGCATGAAGCTATCACTAAAGTTGCTAACACAATCATGACTTACGTAAATGATAAAATGTTGGTAGCCATAAGTATACTAATTGATCATGACAATGCTATCTATATATCTAAATGGGCTGGCAATTGGAAAAAATGTGTAGGCTGACTGTTTCATTGTGTGTCTCACACTATTCAATTTAACTTAAGTTATATTTAAAGTATTGCTGTCTTCAAAGTAAGCACCATAAAAAAATGATTTTGAGTAGGAGGATATTTGCATTTGTAAATTTGAAAATTCCCTGGGAGTATACAAATTGGAGTTATATCAGGCTACGCTCAGAGTTTTATATACATCTAGATGAATCTTCTCAATCGTTAACGTATCTGTATAAAAGTTATTTTTCTTTTATACCCTGCGAACAAATGATATAAAAGTCTACATATTGAACAAACATACTGATTCTCTTGATGTTAGACTGACTTTCCTGCTGTAGTGTTTTTATTCTCCTCCAGGCTTTGTTTTGAAAATACAATGACAGGTTAGGTCTATCAATCCTTGAATTTTGATTGACTGACATTTGTTTCTCCAGTGGTGATATATATATACTTTTCCAAGGTGTTATGTGGTAATTTTTGCCAAAACATTCAACTTATTATTATTAAACTATTTCTTATTGTCACTTCTATCTAGTGTGTTGGTAACTATACTCTGCAAAATTGCTTTTGTGATCTTGGAAAATAATTCTACCTACAAATCTGAGGCTCCAAACAAACTAATGTTGGTTTGACTGAATGAATCTGTACTAGCACTTGTTTGGTCCTAATGGCAGCTCTGACCTGTCCTAAATGAATTTCAAAGAGTGTAGTTTAACGGAGATATTTTTTACAATCTGGTAAAACGGTTAACATTATGACATTGTCTTTAATGAGACATCACAATCACCACTCAGCTTGTGTAACCTATGTAAGTAAAGTATTTCTGAACCACCATGAGACAGCCGGTATAAAAGAAAATGCACACTTATTTTTTTCTTCTTCTGTATATACCGGGACATTTATGCTGCAGTTTATTGCTTTCCCCTTTTTCGCCCTACATAATGAAGGTGTATAAGTCACGAAGCAAATATTAGTACATGTACATAAATATCATACATTGTGATTATGTTTAAAGGGCAAAATTAATACTGAGCAATATGGATTTCACAACATTTTGACTTGGCAATAGTTTCCATGTATGCAGTATCTGATCAAAGTTACAGGCAACCAGTCCAACATTAAGCTGTGTCATTCATAACGCTATAGCTAACACAGTCAGATTAGTGCTGTTGCTTCATTAGTTATATAGGTAATTAAGCATTAAACTTACAAAACATTCAACTTATTATTATTAAACTATTTCTTATTGTCACTTCTATCTAGTGTGTTGGTAACTATACTCTGCAAAATTGCTTTTGTGATCTTGGAAAAAAATTCTACCTACAAATCTGAGGCTCCAAACAAACTAATGTTGGTTTGACTGAATGAATCTGTACTAGCACTTGTTTGGTCCTAATGGCAGCTCTGACCTGTCCTAAATGAATTTCAAAGAGTGTAGTTTAACGGAGATATTTTTTACAATCTGGTAAAACGGTTAACATTATGACATTGTCTTTAATGAGACATCACAATCACCACTCAGCTTGTGTAACCTATGTAAGTAAAGTATTTCTGAACCACCATGAGACAGCCGGTATAAAAGAAAATGCACACTTATTTTTTTCTTCTTCTGTATATACCGGGACATTTATGCTGCAGTTTATTGCTTTCCCCTTTTTCGCCCTACATAATGAAGGTGTATAAGTCACGAAGCAAATATTAGTACATGTACATAAATATCATACATTGTGATTATGTTTAAAGGGCAAAATTAATACTGAGCAATATGGATTTCACAACATTTTGACTTGGCAATAGTTTCCATGTATGCAGTATCTGATCAAAGTTACAGGCAACCAGTCCAACATTAAGCTGTGTCATTCATAACGCTATAGCTAACACAGTCAGATTAGTGCTGTTGCTTCATTAGTTATATAGGTAATTAAGCATTAAACTTACAAACTTTGCATGTTCTGACAGTTTACAGAGATGGAAAGATTTTGGTAGCTCAATAATAAAGGTGTTTACACCGCCCTGCTGCCTCTGTAGGTTCATTGTGTGGTTCACTGATTCAGTGACTTCACTAACTTGCATTCATTGTGTGTTTTATGACCTAATATATATATCTGTATCTATCTGCTGTCTGCTGGCGTATGTAGACCCTCACTGTATCAAGATGACGATCAGTAACTTCAGCACTAACTGTATATCGGACCTTAGTGTGTCTATACAATTATAATAGATGCTTTGTGTGGAAGGCAAGTGCTTACAATTGTCGTTTTACAATATCAAAAAAGTCTCAAGTCATTGTTATATGGGTTATATTACAAGTGCTTACTGATGTTTTACAATATCAAAAAAGGCTCAAGTCATTGTTATATGGGTTATATATTACATGGATACATTGAACAGCTCCAACACCCTGGCAGGTGGAGTATAAAATGGTCTTGTCTGTAGCATTCAAGTGAGGTGGCACTATAAATGATACCGTTGGAAGCACGGTCCCACTACAAAACAGAACATAATACATCTCCAGCACACACGCAGGCATACACACATAGGGAGATATTAGCCAGGTGGCATAGGACTAGTAGTTAGCGCCTGATAAGGCAGCTCCTGCGAATTCCTCAAAATTGAATTAATTAATTAATGTATATGCTAATTGTATATCTATGTACTGTAAAGCGCTTTAGATTGGCTTATGTTAGCTAGATAGGGCGCTATATCAAATGTTGTATATTATTATATATTATATATATTAGCAAAACTAGTTTGTTTACAGTACATAACATTTAAATCAGATATTTCATATGTTTGTTTTCCTTTGCTACGTACTGCTATGTATATGTAAACTTGATTTGAAGGGATTAAATGTTGTGCTTTCTTTATTGTCCAAGTTAACTGTTGTTTCTTTGTTTATTTTAACATTTCACAAGTTCACAATACTCCAAACAGCAGGCATGTGTTTATTTTAACCCAACATACCCTATATGTAGTCCCACTTCATTTATTATTCTTTAATTTGAATAATTCAATAACTTTAGAAACATGCTTTTCTTACTTAAAAGTACATGTAAATGATAATTAAAAATAAATTATAGCGTTGTTTTTGTTTTTAGTCGTATTTACATTAAACATTTTATGAATAGATTTTCAGATTTCCTTTTTTCATGACCTTGAATGACTATTTGTAAAGGTTGACTTTCATTCCCCAAAGTCATGATCAGAGGAGCTCCAAAAATTATATCACAATTAAGTTGTGAAGGAAAAGTTTAGAGTTTCAGTAAATATTTAACCTGAAGATTTTTAAAATTTGTAATCTAATTAATCAATTCAATTTGCTTTTACTGCTATTTTGATAATTTTTGGTGTCATTTTGTTAGGAGTTTATAAAGAGAACCGTTGAATATTATTTTGTTGAACTTTGGTAATATTATCTTGTCATTGTATTGTACAACTTTACACCTGGCTGATTTTGATTTAAACTCATTGAATGGTGCTGCAATCCTGAGTATCCTATCTATAACTCTTATTTTTGCATTCATTTTTGCTTCTAACTGTGTAGCAGGGATTTGTAAATGTATTGACGTTACCCAGACTTTCTGTGTTGAAATACCCAGTATTGATGTTTCAGACATTCCATGTCAGGGGCAGATAACCTTGACACCAGGGGGCGCCGTTCCGTCTCCTACCCCAAGGATTTTTGTGTAGCAACCCCTGAGGAATTTGTCAAAAGATTTGGAGGCAACAGGGTTATCAACAAGGTACAAATGACTGTCAAAAGAATCGAACGTTTCAGCATTATCATTATATATAAGGGACAACCAACCCTGCATTTAAAAATTGATGTTCATTGTGACCGTATATGCAGTTATTTCATATAGTATATCGCAGTTTTACGTGTACATCAGTAACTTTTTTTACTTAACCAATAAAATCTGCTTTTACATCAAAATAGAATCAAGACTAATTAAAAGGATAGCTTTGCATACCAAGTTATTTATTTCCACACTTCACCACCTCAGGTTCTTATAGCCAACAATGGCATTGCTGCTGTCAAGTGCATGCGTTCTGTCCGGAGGTGGGCTTACGAGATGTTCCGTAATGAAAAGGCTATCAGATTTGTTGTCATGGTTACGCCAGAAGACTTGAAAGCAAATGCAGGTAGGTAAAACTGTATTAATTTCATATTCTTGCATATCATATATACCTGTTATATTAATGCATATCATATACCTAGGACATTAACTCATTCACCCCTGTATTTCAACAATGGACTATAATATTATTTGATTTGGAACAGTCCAATTGCATCATTAGGTGTCAGTTGGTTGTGTATCATAACCTGGTACATTGATATTTATCATATGCCTGCTACAAAAGTGTATATACTTGTTAGATTAAAAGATCAATATAACTTACTTTACCTGAGGGATGATTTATTTCGATATAGTACATCAGTAGTACTAATACGAACCAAAGTTAAGATAGATTTTTGTCTCCCTTTTTAGAGTACATCAGGATGGCTGACCAGTATGTGCCAGTACCGGGAGGCACAAACAACAACAATTACGCCAATGTAGATGTCATTCTTGACATTGCCAAGAGAACAAAATCACAGGTTTGGACTATATACATTTAGATCTTGCTGTAATATTCAAAATTGCCAGACCTGCAATTAATGTTTTGCATTTCTTTGCTAACACTTATCAGGATTTTAAACAAATTAACAACAAGGAAAGAAATACCCAAAATGTTCTACACAAAGTTGGTGTAATCTTGAAGAAACAGAATCTGCAAACAAATTAAAAACTAATGTACAGCAATATCAAAAGAGTAGCTTAGATGTATCTCATGTTATACAATAATTTAGTTGTTGTATAAGTAATTTCTCTATTCTGTGTGTTACAGGCCGTGTGGGCAGGTTGGGGCCATGCCTCAGAGAATCCTAAACTCCCGGATTTGCTCCACAAAAATGGAATCACATTTATTGGTAAAGTTACCCCCTTTGATAAGGTTTGATTGTAGAAATTTTCTGATGGAGCACATCTGAATTAAAAAGCCTTAGAATTTTACAGGAGATTTCCTCTTTCAAAGAAATGTCAATTTCTTCTGAATAAGCAAATTTCAAAATAACTGTTCACACAAAACATTTTCTGTTTGTGATGTGTATTTTGTTCTTTTTATGTGGAAAGAAAAGTCCTTATTCGTATAGTATCTTCATTGAAAAAGTTGTGTGGTAAATAAATGTCAGTGTCAACCACTCAGTGTTCTGGCTCAGAGACATTTTGGTTTTAGATGTAGTCATATCAGAGCTATGTATGTTTAATCAAAGATAAATGATGTGTTTAATGCTGTAGTGGGGTGATAACATGCATGTTTACACTGTAATGTGTAACTTCCTTTCAACTTGGAGTATTGAACTGTGAAATCTTAGGAGGAGTCATTAACATTAAAACTTACAAGAGACTGCATACAAGATAAAGTTTCTTTCAACAAACTTTTTAAAACCAATGTTATTGGATTTTATTTTCATTTTGTTGTGAAGTAAAATATTAATTAAGTCAAGCTAACGGAACTGTATTACTGATTGCTGAAAATACCAAATGTTGTTGATGGCAGATAACTGATCAAGCAAATATTTTTAAATGTAAATTTTCTGGGATTAATAAAATCTTCCCCTACCCTGAGGTTGTGACAGAGAAATCTCCAACCCGAGGGGTGATGTTTTTTGGTTTTCTAACCTGAGGCTCTGCCGACGGTTAGACAACCAAAATATCACCCAGAGGGTTGGAGATTTCTCTGTTACAACCTTAAGGTAGCGAGAGGAGAATAACATATCATTTCACTCATTCCTGTTATATTATGTGTTTAACTCACTCTCATGTGTTCATTATAAAATTTGCAAAATATACTGCGAATACACATGTCTTTGTAGACTTTGTAATTTGGAAACTGAGAAAAAACAGTAATCAGTTGTCTTTTATTGAACCTTTAAACTTGTAAGATGTGAGTTCTGAGATAAGACATCTGTTCCTTTATATGATAAATAAACTCCTATAATATGAATGGTTAACAGGTCCCCCGGAGCACGCCATGTGGGCCCTTGGAGACAAAATTGCGTCCTCTATTGTGGCACAGACAGCCGGGGTACCCACCCTACCATGGAGTGGGAAGAGTAAGTACAACTAGATTTACTAGGTACAGTAGGGTATACTGGGTACAACCCACATTATATAGTAGGTACAACTCGTGTTGTTTACTAGGTACAGTAGGGTATACTGGGTACAACCCATGAGGTGAACAAGGTACAACTTACATTATATAGTAGGTACAACTCGTGTTGTTTACTAGGTACAGTGGGGTATACTGGGTACAACCCATGAGGTGAACAAGGTACAACTTACATTATATAGTAGGTACAACTTGTGTTGTTTACTAGGTACAGTGAGGTATACTGGGTACAACCCATGAGGTGAACAAGGTACAACTTACATTATATAGTAGGTACAACTTGTGTTGTTTACTAGGTACAGTGAGGTATACTGGGTACAACCCATGAGGTGAACAAGGTACAACTTACATTATATAGTAGGTACAACTTGTGTTGTTTACTAGGTACAGTGAGGTATACTGGGTACAACCCATGAGGTGAACAAGGTACAACTTACATTATATAGTAGGTACAACTTGTGTTGTTTACTAGGTACAGTGAGGTATACTGGGTACAACCCATGAGGTGAACAAGGTACAACTTACATTATATAGTAGGTACAACTTGTGTTGTTTACTAGGTACAGTGAGGTATACTGGGTACAACCCATGAGGTGAACAAGGTACAACTTACATTATATAATAGGTACAACTTGTGTTGTTTACTAGGTACAGTAGAGTATACTGGGTACAACCCATGAGGTGAACAAGGCACAACTTACATTATATAGTAGGTACAACTTGTGTTGTTTACTAGGTATACTGGGTACAACCCATGAGATGAACAAGGTACAACTTACATTATATAGTAGGTACAACTTGTGTTGTTTACTAGGTACAGTGAGGTATACTGGGTACAACCCATGAGGTGAACAAGGTACAACTTACATTATATAGTAGGTACAACTTGTGTTGTTTACTAGGTACAGTGAGGTATACCGGGTACAACCCATGAGGTGAACAAGTTACAACTTACATTATATAGTAGGTACAACTTGTTAGCTCACCTGCCCGAAGGGCAAGTGAGCTTATGTTATGGTGCAGAGTCTGTCCGTCCGTCTGTCTGGCGTCAATTTTTTGCTTTAAACAACTTCTTTTCGGTAACCAAAAGGCCTAGGAAGATGATATTTGGTCAGCAGCATGCTGGGATCAAGGGCTACCAAGTTTGTTCAAATAAATGACCTTGACCCACTTTCAAGGTCACAGGGGTCAAATATGTTAAAATCTTCAAACAACTTCTTCTCAATAACCAAAAGGCCCAGGGTACTGATATTGGGCCTGTAGCATGCTGGGATAAAGGACTATCAAGTTTGTTCAACTGAATGACCTTGACCAATCTTCAAGGTCACAGGGGTCAAATGTCGTAAATCTTCAAGCGACTTCTTTTCAATAAGCAAAAGGGCCAGGGTACTGAAATTTGGCCTGTAGCATGCTGGGATGAAGGACTATCATGTTAGTTCAAATGAATGACCTTGACCAACTTTCAAGGTCACATGGGTGAAATGTTGTAAAATCTTCATNCTGGGTACAATCTATGAGTTGAACAAGGTACAACTAACATTATATAATAGGTACTACTTGTGTTGTTTACTAGGTACAGTGAGGATACTAGTGTCTGCTGATCCAAAAGTCTAAGATATGACCTACCTGTCATTACTGTACTGTGTCTACTAGATACATCTTGTTAGATATATACTAGATACAGAATACAATTTCAGATTTATAGTACATACAACTTATGTTATAGTAGAACAACTTGCTACCTGTACTAGATTTCACTCTCTTCACATTAACTTAATATTCATAATGATTCGATATAAGGCATACAAATGTATAATAACGCTGGCCGTGGTTCGTAACCTTTTGTTGTATTTACTTTTAACAGACCTGACAGTGAGTTGGACGGAGGCTGACAAGGCCCAAAACAAAGTAATCTCTGTGCCACAGGACGTCTACCAGAAAGGTTGTGTGGAAGATATGGAGGCTGGACTGAAAGCAGCCGAGGATATTGGCTTCCCTGTGATGATCAAGGCCTCAGAAGGGGGCGGTGGCAAAGGCATAAGGAGGGCAGACAATGCTGCTGGCTTCCCAAACCTCTTTAGACAGGTTAGTATGGAAAGGGCTTAAGGAGGGAAAACAATGCTGCTAGCTTCCCAAACCTCTTCAGACATGTTAGTAGGGAAAGGGCTTAAGTAGGGAAGACAATGCTGCTAGCTTCCCAAACCTCTTTAGACAAGTAGGTAGAGAAAGAGCTTAAGGAGGGAAGACAACGCTGTTAGCTTCCCAAACCTCTTTAGACAGGTTAGTAGGGAAAGGGCTTTAGGAGGGAAAACAATGCTGCTAGCTTCCCAAACCTCTTCAGACAGGTTAGTAGGGAAAAGGCTTAAGTAGGAGAGACAATGCTGCTAGCTTTCCAAACCTCTTCAGACAGGTTAGTAGGGAAAAGGCATGAGGAGGGAAGACAATGCTGCTGGCTTCCCAAACCTCTTTAGACAGGTTAGTAGGGAAAAGGCTTAAGGAGGGAAGACAATGCTGCTAGCTTCCCAAACCTCTTCAGACAGGTTAGTAGGGAAAAGGCATGAGGAGGGAAAACAATGCTGCTAGCTTCCCAAACCTCTTCAGACAGGTTAGTAGGGAAAAGGCTTAAGTAGGAAAGACAATGCTGCTAGCTTTCCAAACCTCTTCAGACAGGTTAGTAGGGAAAAGGCATGAGGAGGAAAGACAATGCTGCTAGCTTCCCAAACCTCTTCAGACAGGTTAGTAGGGAAAAGGCTTAAGTAGGAAAGACAATGCTGCTAGCTTTCCAAACCTCTTCAGACAGGTTAGTAGGGAAAAGGCATGAGGAAGACAGACAATGCTGCTAGCTTCCCAAACCTCTTCAGACAGGTTAGTAGGGAAAAGGCTTAAGTAGGAAAGACAATGCTGCTAGCTTTCCAAACCTCTTCAGACAGGTTAGTAGGGAAAAGGCATGAGGAAGACAGACAATGCTGCTAGCTTCCCAAACCTCTTCAGACAGGTTAGTAGGGAAAAGGCTTAAGTAGGAAAGACAATGCTGCTAGCTTTCCAAACCTCTTCAGACAGGTTAGTAGGGAAAAGGCATGAGGAAGACAGACAATGCTGCTAGCTTCCCAAACCTCTTCAGACAGGTTAGTAGGGAACAGATATGGGAAGGAAGGTGGGTTTGCGGAGGCATCAGAAGGGCAGACAATCGTTGTATCCCACAATTTGTCAGATAAGTAGCCGACAATTTCACTGACATTCTTAAATACTTATAGCAGGTTTGATTATTTATAAAGCCTTAATGTTATCATACAGATGAAGGACAAGTAATTCTGTACAAACTAGGGAAAATGCTTTTATATCTTTAATACCAATGTTATGATTATTGAAATCATTAATTTTTACTTCATGAATTTTACCATTTAACCACATAAAAAGTTAAACTTTTAGCTGAATATGATAAGGAATCAGCTGTATTAGAACTCAATAAAACTCAGTAGTTTTTAATTTGTCCGACAAGTAAAATCTCAAACTGAAGGCACAAAATTGAAAACTTTAGTGAGACAAACATTAGCAAATTTACAGTATTTTAAATAAGGTTTTCTGTATCTCTTAAACTTGTCGACCAAAAGAATAGTTGATGTATTTTTGCAGAATGTGTGAAGGTGTTTATGTTTGTGTTTTGTTTAGGTCCTGACAGAAGTACCTGGCTCACCTGTGTTCATCATGAAACTGGCCATGCATGCCCGCCATTTGGAGGTCCAGATTCTGGCCGATAGCTATGGTAATGCCATCTCCTTATTTGGGCGTGACTGCTCCATTCAAAGACGTCACCAGAAAATTATAGAGGAGGCTCCTGCTGCTATTGCTAAACCAGAAGTGTTTGAACAGATGGAAAAGGTAATGCTCAATGTCCGAGCTCAATGTCTGAGCTCAATGTCCGAGCTCAATGTCCGCGCACTCGCACAATAGACAGGTTATCAAACTGTCATATCTCATGTCGTGATTGAGTATGGCAAAAAGATGAACCCGATGAGATTTAAGGTCAGCGGTCCAGAGCATGGGTGAATGATACAATTTCTGTTTGGCACAGCTTGCTGTCATCACTTTTAGGGTTTCTGATCCCATATAATACAATTGTCAGTTATGAGAATACCTCAGACCATTTCTTGTTGCTAAGGTTAAAGTTACTGTAACTATTTACAGAAAGTGTTTGTCATTGTTCTAACAACTTCTATCTAACAGATTTTGATTAACTTGACACAAGTGTTTTGGAATACTTAATCAAGTCTGTGTTTCAATTTTCCAAACTATCTTGAGAAAATTTAAGTATTTACATGTGACTAACTAATATACCGACAATAAAAATCATTATCAATCAATTAAGTTGCTAGGGTAATATATTATAAGGTAATGTTGATAAGTTACAAGCTATCTACTATCTTACAGTTTGTTACATATGTGAGGGGATTTGTAATGTTTGTGAATTTAGTTATCATTGATCCTTTGATATCCACAGGCTGCTGTCACCCTTGCCAAGATGGTGGGATATGTGAGTGCCGGGACCGTAGAGTACCTGTACAATGCTGAGGAGGAGTCATTCCATTTCCTGGAACTCAACCCCCGACTACAGGTGGAACATCCCTGTACAGAGATGGTGGCTGACATCAACCTGCCGGCCGCCCAGCTCCAGGTGAGAATCACTAGTTTGTGTAGTGCCTGAAAGTTCTTAATATTAACATAAATACACATTTCTGTGTGCCACGGTTTGTGAACTGTTTCAGTAATTTCTTCCTATATGCTTATACCTCTTCAAAACAGTATTTGTTATCTTTAGGAAAATTTCTGTCTGAAAAATGAAAACCTGAATATAATTTCCATTATTGGCTTTTTATATTGGCTTTACAATAACTTCAAACATCAAAATGTGGTGAGTATCATCTCCAATTCCTTCTATAACTATAATTTTATTTTCCAGATTGCTATGGGTATACCCTTGTATCGTCTGAAAGATGTCCGACAACTATACAACAAAGAGCCCTGGGGAGACAGTGAGATTGACTTTGAAAATCCCTCTGTACGCCCTTGTCCAAAAGGTCATGTCCTTGCTGCTAGGATCACTAGTGAAAATCCTGATGAGGTAATAAAAAAGGATGGTACTCTCAAATTGTAATCACGATGCCTTTAATATTTACTACACTCCGAGGCATGAATAAGGCTTAAAATCCTTGATGTATTCACTACTATTTCATGTTCTCAAACGTAAATGATTAACTGATGACTTCAATCACCTGTTGATAAACAGGTTATACAAATATCCACCCTTCACCAGTAAATTTCATAATCATGCATTGAACATTTTGCCCTTCATATGTAATTATGTTATGCTATGTACTTGTATTCACTGTCATATTAAATTCCAGTTTAGAGGATGAAACAGGCAAAAGTGAAACGGCACTGAACATTTCCCAGTATATAGTATTAAGTCTCCTTTGGGCAATTCTAGTTCTGAAAATGTCAAAGTATCTTTTATTTAGTTTACCTCCCTCAATGAAAGAGATCACAGTGCTTAATTTGCCATTAAACATTTTCTGGACCATACTTTTCAACTGTTAAAGATTTCTTAATAAAACTTGAAGTATACATCAAACTGTGTATACGTTTATTTCCATTACCAGGGATTTAAGCCAAGCTCTGGAACAGTACAGGAGCTAAACTTTCGCAGCAGTAAGGATGTGTGGGGCTACTTCAGTGTGGCTGCCTCAGGAGGACTACATGAGTTTGCTGACTCTCAGTTCGGCCACTGCTTCTCCTGGGGGGAGGACCGAGAGGATGCAAGAGAGTAAGTACAGACAATTAGGGTGGTGTATTTGGTTAGGTAAGTATGGTTATTAAGGGTGGTGTATATTTATGGTAAGTATGGTCATTTAGGGTGGTGTATTTGGTCAGGTAAGTATGGTCATTTAGGGTGGTGTATTTGATCGGGTAAGTGTGGACATTTTGGATGGTGGATTTGTGACAGAAAGTAAGTGTGGACATTTTGGATGGTGGATTTGTGACAGAAAGTAAATGTCGACATTTTGGATGGTTGATTTGTGACAGAAAGTAAATGTGGACATTTTGGATGGTGGATTTGTGACAGAAAGTAAATGTGGACATTTAGGATGGTGGATTTGTGACAGAGAGTAAGTGTGGACATTTAGGATGGTGGATTTGTGACAGAGAGTAAGTGTGGAAATTCAGGATTGCATAGGTGAGACACAGTATGGACAAATAGGATGGTGTAGATGACATCAGGAATTGAAAAAATGACCAGGGTTACCTGGAAATGAAATGAATTTTTCTCTAGCAGAATGAATGGAAATTTACGTTACATCAAGCAATCTTTTAAACAAAAAATGCTGATTCAGATGGAAGGGATTTATATTCAGTTATTTAAAAATAATTTGTTATTATAAATGTGTAAATTAATTCTGAAGTAAGAACATTGCTTGCATTGTTTAAAAAAGATTTAATAACAATGAAAATAGTACAAATTGTTTGTCAATTTGTTCAAAACATCTACTTGAAAAGTTTTCTAGTTTTATTTTTTTTGTCAACAAAATATTTGTGATTTGAGCATATGATAAAATTCATATGTATGATAACTGGTGTGTTTTGTGTTTCTTTGTAGAAACCTTGTACTCGCCCTGAAGGAGCTGTCTATCCGCGGTGACTTCAGGACTACAGTAGAATACCTCATCAAGGTTCTGGAGACAGATGAGTACCAGAACAACATCATCACTACAGGCTGGCTTGATAAACTCATCGCCGAGAAGGTCCAGGCTGAGAAACCTGACACTATGCTGGGCGTCATCTGTGGGGCTCTACACATTGGTGACAAAATAATACTCAAGTGCTTTCAGGACTTTCAGACTTCTCTGGAAAGGTAGACTGTAGACTCAGTGTTGTTTAGTTTAACAAAGTTTTATTAATGACAGTGACTTCATAAATGAAATATTTAATTCAATGTCAGAATTTGTTTATTCTTCTGTCTGAAAACTTGAAAAAAAACAACTGATCATGTTCTTTCAGAAGAAAAAAAAAAGCTTCTAATGGTTGCTTTCCTTTATATTCATTGAGGAAACTGGTTAGGGCTTATCAGGATACAACTCTATGAGGATGATTGGGGGTAGGGCTTATCAGGATACAACTCTATAAGGATGATTGGGGGTAGGGCTTATCAGGATACAACTCTATAAGGATGATTGGGGGTAGGGCTTATCAGGATACAACTCTATAAGGATGATTGGGGGTAGGGCTTATCAGGATACAACTCTATAAGGATGATTGGGGGTAGGGCTTATCAGGATACAACTCTATAAGGATGATTGGGGGTAGGGCTTATCAGGATACAACTCTATAAGGATGATTGGGGGTAGGGCTTATCAGGATACAACTCTATAAGGATGATTGGGGGTAGGGCTTATCAGGATACAACTCTATAAGGATGATTGGGGGTAGGGCTTATCAGGATACAACTCTATAAGGATGATTGGGGGTAGGGCTTATCAGGATACAACTCTATAAGGATGATTGGGGGTAGGGCTTATCAGGATACAACTCTATAAGGATGATTGGGGGTAGGGCTTATCAGGATACAACTCTATAAGGATGATTGGGGGTAGGGCTTATCAGGATACAACTCTATAAGGATGATTGGGGGTAGGGCTTATCAGGATACAACTCTATAAGGATGATTGGGGGTAGGGCTTATCAGGATACAACTCTATAAGGATGATTGGGGGTAGGGCTTATCAGGATACAACTCTATAAGGATGATTGGGGGTAGGGCTTATCAGGATACAACTCTATAAGGATGATTGG